TAGAAAGAGAGAGAGTGCAACAATGTTTGCAAATTCCTTGAAGGGGTCAAAGCTATTTCACTTTTATCTTTTGCATTGTGTCTTTCTCAGTCTCCCTCTCCTCTCTCTCTCCTCTCTCTCTCCGGTCAACACTCTTCACCTTTTTATCCTACCTCTTTTCTCTCCTCCTCTCTGCGTTTATTGTCCGTTTGCAGCTTTCCCCTGTTCGTTCGGCAAACGTTCCGTTATTAATTCAATTCGTCACGATTGAGTGGCAGCTGCTGGAGACTGAGAAAACTGAGAAAACTGAGAAAATACAGAGTCTGCGGCGGCTGCTTGAAGGGAAATTAGTGAAAAGCTGTCACAGCTGCCGTTCGTTCCGTACCGTACCGTTCCGTTCCAATCCGTTCGTTCCCGCGCACGTGTCTCCACTGCAACACAATGCAACTGTGAAATGTAATATTTGAACAAACGAGATTCGGCATTTGGGGGTTCCTAACTCAGCGAACTCGGCCTGTGGACGGGGGAATGGTCTGAAATTTGACCAGAAGATTTCCACTGACTTGGCTATTACGCATATGTTGAAATGGTAATGATCGCATAAGCCTAACTCTGGTAACTGGGCTTGTCGTTCGGTGAAATTAGACCCGCGGGCCCCGTGATTCATGTGTCCAGTTGTAAGGGGATCAGCTGCCTCTGGTTGGGTCTTCTTACTTAGAGATTAACTTACAGTGTTATGGGGGAACATTATTACAGTTTCCTATAACTATAGTTATAATACTTGTAATTAATAACACAATATATCAATTGCTTAATTATACCATCATTCAGGAACGGTTTCTGGGCTTACGTGAGATATAAGATATAGGATGATAGAGCATACTCACGTCCCTGTGAAGGTTTTTATGGAACACATAATGTTTTGGTAGATGCAATATAAATCCGAATGAAGCCCATTTAATTTGAATTCCCTGAAATTGTATTATATTACGGCTTTTGTTACGAATGCAATTTTGAAAATTGTTCTGTGGAAACTTTTACTTACCGAACGCGTCTTTTGTTTTATGCAGCTCGGCATTCCCAGCCTGATGGGATCATAATTGTGCTAATAATATAATGCTACCCCCCAATGGGGCACAGCCGCAGATGGTGAAATGAACCACGTTTCGATGTCGTTTTCGCTTTTCTTTCACACGGCGACTAATTAGGCAAATTCAGGGGGTCGCAACTGGGAGTTGGGAGTTGGGAGCTGGGAGCTGGGAGCTGCAGATACCGATGGGGTCTTTAAAACATGTTTGCCTCAACATGTTTCCGAAACGTGTTTGGCAGTGGCGGCGGTGCAACAACAATATAAATAGCAGAAGCAGAAGCGGCAACAAAAACACTTTCATTGCCCCAGCTGCATTTTACCAACAATACGAGCCCCGACCACTATTAATTCGTACGGCAGCTTTTTTACTCGTATAAAATATTCAGCAAACGATATTGTCCATAATAACGTATACCACATATAAAAATGATTTTTTATAGTACTATAACTTTATTCTCTTAAGTTTAAAACAAAAAAATTTATTGTACTTCGACAACAACAACAATAGTGTTTATTTATTTTAATGTGTCATTAAACTGATGATATAAATACGACCACTATTAATTCGTACGGTGCGTTTAATATTAACTTTTTATACGAAATACTAGGTTGTTTTTTAATATTAATATTGGGTAACATCACCCTTGACCTTAACGACACATTTACAACGATTTGGCATTGATTTTAATAAATTTTGGCATTGCTCTCTTGAAATAGAGTCCCAAACCTCTTGGATTTTAAGTTTTAATTCAGACAGGGTTCTTTGAGGTTCATTTTTTAGTTTTCTTTTCATTATTCCCCATATATTCTCGATAGGACTTAGGTCCGGACTATTTGATGGCCAATCTAAGACCTCAATGTTCATATTCTGCAGCCATGATTTGGTTCGTTTGGCAGTATGAGATGATGCTCCATCCTGCTGAAAGGTGTATTCGCCACAGTCAGCCAGCTTTGGTATTGATGGCAGAAAGCTTTCTTCTAAGATGTTAACATATTTTTCTGCGTTGACCATCCCATCAATAAAGTGCAGCTGCCCCACTCCTTTGGCAGACATACAACCCCACACCATAATGCTGGCTGGGTACTTAACTGTTCTTTTAAGGCAGTCTTTATGGTAGGCTTTAGTACGGATGACTCTCCTTCGCGCATCGCCGACACTTACATCAAATTTAGCTTCATCGCTAAATATGATAGTGTTCCATTGCCTTTGAGTCCAGGACATCCTTTCCCGTGACCATTGTAAACGCTTCTTCTTTTGACGAAGCGTAAGCAATGGTTTTTCCTTGGCCTAAGAGTAAGTTAATCTATTAAGTATGTAACATAGTCTATCACAGTGCATACCTTATAGAACTTATATCCGATCTCACGCAACTTCAAGCGCGTACACTCTCGCTTAACACCTTTTCCGATTTTATCAGACCACTCAGATGCTATATTTCGACAATTTTGACGACGATCAGCCTTTACAATAGCCGCCAGGGCTCTTTTGTCACGTGCTGTTATTGCCGATTTTCGGCCTCTTTTTGCGATATTATTTTCAATATTGCCATTTTCCTTAAATTTTTTAATTATTCCCTGAACGGACGACTTAGCCAGATTAAATTGCTTGGCAATTTCACCGAAACTTTTCCCATTTTTATAATTATTCAGAACTAAAATTCTTATTTCCTTGCAAATTGGCTTTCCTCGTGCCATTGTAGCTTAACTATGAGTAATTTTCAGCAATCGCACTTTATTTTGCATTCTGCTTTGTTAAACAGTTTACAGCAAAAGACTAGATAGTGATTATGTTTCACTGTTTCCTTTTGTTTGGATCTTCTTTTAATTCTAAGCTAAGCTTTTGGCACCGTACGAATTAATAGTGGTCGAATTTATATTATCATTTTAATAACACATTAAAATAAATAAATATTATTGTTGTTGTTGTCGAAATACAATAAATTTTTTTGTTTTAAACTTAAGAGAATAAAGTTATAGTACTATAAAAAATCATTTTTATATGTGGTGTACGTTATTATGGACAATATCGTTTGCTGAACATTTTATACGAGTAAAAAAGCTGCCGTACGAATTAATAGTGGTCGGGGCTCGTAGCAACAACAGCAAAATACAAAATTTCGACTGCAATTGGCACGAAAAAATTCGCTTTCGCTTCGAGCAAGCAAAAAAAAAAAAGAAAAAAAAGCAGAAAATATACGCCAAACGATTCAAAAATGCGAGGCTTCTGCTTTTTTCTTCGAATGACACTTGTCTCTTGGTGGAAATGGCAATGAAAATGGAGATGGGAAAACGAGTTTGTGGCCTGAGTCTTTTGAACTCTGTATTGAAATATCGAAAGCCTCCCAAGGCGGCCGACGGGGACAGGAACAGCTGACCTTATGGCCACGAAACGAAGAAAGTTGCAACAAGATTTTTGTTGACCCTTTTTTCTCAGCTTATTATTGTTTGTTGCTTGTTATTTTTTTATTTCTCTTTTGAAAAGGAAAGTGGCGGCATGCGGCAATATGCCGTTGCCCTTTATATCACCACATGACGTTATTGATTTCGATCGCATAGAAATCGATTTAACAGAAAGTTTTCCAAAATAGGAAATAAAAGGTTGAAGTAATTCTTAAAAGATTTGTTTTGGAATTTTACCCTACTATTTTTTAAATTTATTAATACTTGAATTAATATTTATCTTTATCTTATTACATTTAAGAATAATACAATGTTAGTCCATAAGGTTACATTTCCAAAGAAGAAAATATTTATTATAATTAATACTAAAACTATTTTTCATTGTTTACTTTACTTAATTCTTTTTAATTTAATAATATTGGCCATAATAGGTTGATTCCATTGTATTAGAAAACTTAATTTAAGAAGCTAAACGAAGAAGCTAAACGAAGAAGCTAAATAATATATACAACTTAATTAAAGCAAGTCTTGATGTTGACTTTTTATTAAAAATTAAACAATTCACATCATTAGTACCAGAGAACCTCTACAAAATGTATATATGTATTCAGAAGCCCACATAATGAACCCACATTTCGAAGCCAACGCTATAAATGAGCTCAAAAAATAATCAATAAAATATGTAAATATGCTAAGCGAATGAGAAATGAAATGAATAAACAATAACCATCGAGGAAACTTTCTTTTCAAAGAGTTTTGCATGGCCCTCTGCTCACTTGACATTGGACTCTTTGCATTATTGTTTTTGTTACTGTTTTTTGGTCGACAACTCAAACTGGAGCAAGTTTTACTCATTTTTTCCGTAGCTTGTAGTTTTTGACCAGAGGGCGATGAACGCAGAGGTGCGCTAAATTCGTAGTCGCACAATTAGCACCTGCTCGGTTGGTTAGTTGCTCGGTTTCGGCCATGTCCGGCGCATGTCGTCTCCATTACCAAGTCTGTAACAATGTTGGGCCATTGTTTGCGGCACTCGCCGTCCATGTGATCCAGTGGTACAGTGATCGCTCGCCGAAGGGGGAAAGCCTTTCTAAACGATATCAGTTTCGCAAAATTATTTAAATGACGCTTGTAGTTGTGTTATGTTGGGGGGGCTTGTGTAAAGAAAAGTAATTAATTGATGGAATTTTAAGTGTAGTTTTTGTATTGAAGTAAAAGATTCAAATCTGCCTAGGGATGTATCGGAAAGTCAAACATTTTATTAGTTTTTTTTCAATTAAATTGGATTGATATATTAGGCAGAATATCGATTTATCAATATGTATGTATAGAGATCCAATATCATTACAGTTTCGATATATTCATATATTTTGGTATCCATAGCTTTATGCCGTACCTAATTTCTTGCCTAGCATCACCAGCCGAATTGATCTAGGCTCTAGCATCTTTTAACTGCACTTGAACTAAGTCCCTGTGAATTTATCTATTATTTCAAAATCAAATTGTTTAAAGTTTCCTTCATTTTCTTTTGCAGATGAAAAAAACACGCGACACAGATAAATTATCCGCCCCGTTGGCGGTCACAAACATAAATGGTAATTCCAACTCGAACCCGCACTCCAATTTGAATTCGAGTTCGAATTCGAACGGTATCGCTGCCAATATGGCGGCGGCTGATAAGAAGAACAACAACAGCAACTGCAGTAATCGCAACAAAGACAAGAGCATGCAAACAAACGGCGGAAAAAACTGGAAGGTAAGCGTAATTAAAACCGCCAGGTGAGCGAGCGGTAATTGAGGAAAAGCCCAAAGAAAAGATGGTAGGGGGGGAAATGCGAATTGCGCGTTTGTGTGTGATGCAACCGAGAAAATCTCGCTGCACGTGCGGATCAAAGCAGAAAATGGGGCTCAGACTGAGAAGCGCTGTTATTCGGCCGACTGACTTTTGACTGTCTTCTGTCACTTTCTGCCTCGCATCACTTTTCGCTCCAAGTCAGAGACAGAGAGTAAGGAAGGGAGAGGGGGGTAGTGCGTGTGGCAGACGTTCTCTCTTAACCCTATAAACCTCCAAATGACGTACAGTTGAGATAAAGCCTCTCCAGACGAATCGATCTAGATATAAAACTGTCTTATATATGTATGTATAAGCAATTTTTTGTAGATTTTAACCAAATTTAAGGCAATAGAATGAAAATAATTTTAATTTATAATGTTTTAGATAGACAGATATTTTAATATATATACGGATAGATAGATATTTCTCTGTTATTTCGTACAAAAACCTAAAATAAAAAGAAGTTAAATAAAAATAACTTCGAGATTCCTTAAGAACAATTTTAAAACTACCAAAATGGCATGAGGGTAAAAAAAACTAACTAAACTAAAAACTAAACTATATTGAATCGAAGTCTTTAAATATTTCAATCTAATTATATTTTAAACCAATGAAGAATGGATCTAATATTATATATATACTTTTTTTAGTTAAATTTTTTTGTTTAGTATTATGTATTTCTTTCTTCAATTCGTTTTTTTTAATACAATCTTGCTGAGTTTAACAAATTAACGTTAGCAAATGCGGAAATGCGGTGTTGCGTTGACCAGTGCGAGGCGATGCGATGTTTGATTATGAAACAAAAAAGCCATTTGTGTTTAATTACTCGTCTCTGGACTACATTGTATTATTGTTATGTCTTTTGCGGCAGCATCACTCCACTTCACATCACATGGAATCACGCAGTCGATGAAGAAAACCAAAACTGGGCCGTATGCTGACCCGTTTTGTGTTTGTTTCAGGAAAACCAGCAAAAGAAAAAAAAAAAACAACAGAAAAGTAGTTTATTCACTTTACTTGCGCTTTAAGCGTCTGCGTTCTGCTTATTTTTCTTTCATTTATTTTTCTACGCTTTTGCAACTTGAACACCAGAGAAGTTAATACCAATTCCCCCGCTATGTTACGTGCTAGTTAAGTGCAATTTGAATAAAATCAATTAAAAAATATGAGGGAAACGATAACGAATATGATATTTAGAAGGAAAGGTTCAGTCAAGTATAGTATAATATAGATTAAAAAAAAGAGAGAATAATAATATGATCTTTACCCATAGTGGGGGATGAATATAGATTTGATATATCAACAAAAATATCCCTTATATCAAAGATGTTAATTTCTCGAAATTTAAAAATAGAAAAATTTTAATTTATCGTTAATTTATCGAACAATTTTATTTACTCGGTTTTATATTTCTTTACAAATGTAATAATTCAATATATTAAACAGTTTATAGAATATAGAAAACTTGCATGTTTATCGCAATATTTAAATATCTATTTATAGATCGATCTTGGCATCAAATATCGATATAGTATCGATCTATTAATTTTGGAGAATATAAGAACTTTAATAGGCAATATTTCAAATTGAATCAGATTTTTCTATTACATTTACTTTGTACAAATATTATTTATTACAACAGATCTTGGGAACTCTAGGGGCCTGGCAAATTATAAAATCAAACTTGAAATATTTGAGACCTGAAATCGGGGAATTTTCAAGTGCAACCGCATTAGTTTTTCTTTTTGGCTTTTCCTCTGTTTTCAATTTTTCAAGTTTTCAAGCTGTTTCGTTCCGTGATTTGATTTAACGGCATGATTTGGCTAAAAAATCAAAAGCATTTAAGGCGCTTTACCGGTCGCTGACCTTCCTTAATTATAAATATTGAGGCTCCCAAAAAAAAAAAATACAAAAAAATACAAAAAACACTTGGTTTTGTGAGTGTTTTTCTGTTGTGTGCTTTTCCTACTTACCTTTCTTGTCATTCGCAGGGCATTGTCCAGACTAATCCCAGTGGCGGTGGAGGCGGGGGTGCTGTGGGTGTGGGCACCACATCCCAACCGCCGAAGGTGTTCCACAACACCAGATGCACACGTCACCACAAACCGCATCACAATCATGGCAACGGAACGCCGCTTTCCTCCGTCTCCAATGGAGGAGCAGCTGAAGCACTGGACACCGCGCAGCTAAGGGATCGGGATAGGGAAAGGGAGAGAGATCGGGAAAGGGAGCGGGATCGGGAGCGGGAGAGGGAGAGGGAGAGAGATAGGGAAAGGGAACGGGAACACCACCTACACATACACAGTCACAACCACGGGCTGAGGAGAAAGTCCGAATCCGTTCTATCCACCGATTCGGATATACGCTTCACCCGCCGAAAGCTGGGCGATGGCCAGAAGTGTGGATGCGCCGTGATTGCTGGATTCCTTATAGCCCTGCTAGTGGCCGGAGCCTTTGTCTATGTGGGATGTTAGTATGCCTTCTTTTGAAGCAATTTTGTATTAAGCGACTGCTCACATGCCACCTCACCATTATAGATACCTACTTCCGTCCGGAACCGCTGCCGGATCGCGTTTTTCGCGGACGCTTTATGGTGCTGAACGACAAGTGGAGCATGGAGCTGGCCAACCAGAACTCGCTGAGATTCCAGCAAAAGTCCAGGGACTACCGGGAGCGGATCAACCTCACACTAAGGCGCTCCGATCTGCGGGAAGCCTACGAGGGTAGCGAGATATTGGCCCTGGATGGGTGAGTGTTTCAAGAGAAAACATATAGTAATTATGTAATTAATATATTTAAAATTATGTTCCCTCTTTAGCAGCGAGGATAATAACAACGTAATCGTGCATTTCAACATGATCTTTGATCCGTATGCGGGCTTGGTGAGCAGTGGCGATCTGCTGGCCCTGTTCCACGAGGAGATGAGCCAGCCTCCCCAGCAGCGTCGTCATTTCGCCAACATGACCGTGGATGTGGCCAGTTTGACCATCAAGGAGACAACGGGTTTAATTGAAGAGCCCGTTATGTCCAGTTCCCCTCTGGGGGGACACGATGAGGCCACAGAGCCGGTGGTGACCACCACTCCGGCCCCACCACGACGCTGCTCTGAGCTGGAGCTAAGCTATTGCCACCAAGTGGGCTACAATATAACCACCTATCCGAACCTGCTGGGACATGCCAGCTATGAGCAGCTGGCGGAGGATGTCATTGTATTCCGGGAACTGGTGGACGGTGAATGCCATCGCGAGGCCTACGACTTTGTGTGCCGTCTGCTCCAGCCACCCTGCGATAGCCACGGGTCCAATCTGCAGCCCACACCTGGGCTTATATGCCGCGAGTACTGTGAGTCCTTCATGGCCGGCTGTGGGAGTAGGCTGCCACAGCGCTTCCGTCACTACTTCGACTGCGAACGCTTCCCGGAATCCACGGGCACCCAGTCATGCCACCAGAAGCCGCACTGCGTCAGCGACATGCAGACAAATGTCCAGAGTCCGCGGCTCTGCGATGGCTATGCCGACTGTCCAGACCTGTCCGATGAGCGGAGCTGCGCCTTCTGCTCCCCCAATGCCCTCTATTGTGGCCGGGGAAGGGCCTGTGTGCCGCGGAAGGCGAGATGCGACGGCAAGGCAGATTGTCCGGATGGAGCCGATGAGAAGGATTGCCGTAAGTGCCACTATACTACCTACTATAATGAAAGACTATAATCTCAACCCAATTTCGTTTAGTTTCCATTGCTCCCCTGGCCTCTGATCTGTTACAGCCGGAACCCCTCGTACCCTACTTGTCCAAGTTCCACTCCGCCGGCTATGCTGTCTTCTCCGAGAAGGGAGTGGTGGGCAAGCTGTGTGCCGAAGGACTTGAGGGCGATGCCAAGATAGTGGTCCGCCAAACAGTGTCCGAATCTCTGTGCAAGTCCCTGGGATATGAGTAAGGAAAACACTCAACCTAATCCCATCCAGGTCACACGCTAAATTCCACTCTAAATTCTCCAACAGATCCGTGGAAATATTCGACGTGCTGAACGACACGGAGCAGTTGTCAGACTACGTCCGCGTCCTGGATCCCCACGCACCGGAGATCAGCTTCATAAGGACGCACTGTCCGCGGCGCCAGGTGCTCTACGTGGGCTGTGGCGAGCTAAGATGTGGTGTCCAGTCGGCGCTCTTCAATGCCAAGCAGCACTTATCCCTGCCGAAGATGTCCGCTCCCGGAGACTGGCCCTGGCTGGTGGCCCTGTTCCGCGAGGATATACACGTGTGCGATGGCACACTAATCTCTCAGGACTGGGTACTCACTACCGAGGGCTGTTTCCAGGGACAGCCGCGGGCCACCTGGATGGCCATTGTGGGCGCCGTACGGCTATCCGCAAAAGCTCCGTGGACGCAACGGCGCCGGATCATTGGCATGATCAAGAGCCCGGTGGAGGGCAGTACGGCGGCATTGGTGCGGTTGGAAACGGCGGTCAGCTATTCGGACCATGTACGCCCCATTTGCCTGCCGGACTCTCTGCAGCGCCGCCTGCTCCAACAGCCGCCGGCCCAGAGGAGATCGCACGCCCCGGTGGCTGAAAGATTGGAGGGTCAACTGGTTCCCCGAAGTCCTCTGGCGCAGGAAAATCAGCAATTCTTCTTGATACCATCCAAGGAACAGCTTGAGAGCTCCACGGACGGCAGCCTTGCAGAGGACGATCAGCAGGGGGATCACTTTGGCGCTGAGGCAGCTGCCTCATATATGCCCAAGGCCGAGGCCCTGCACCGGGAACTGGAGGCCTATCCCCTGCCGGATCATGCACCTCAGGTGAACTACTATGGCGGCAGCTCCTCAGCGGGATCTACGTCGTCGTCTGCCTCTGCCCGCACGGCAACAAAGGCTCCAGCTTCGGTGTCGTCCGCAATTCCAGTTGCTTCCGAGCAAATATGGACAAACTGCAATACCCTGGGCTGGTCCCGGCAGCGAGATCATTTGCAGCGCGTCCAGCTCAAGATTGGCGATATGGCGCCCTGCGAGAACGTGTCCATCGCCACCGTCAACTCCATGTGCATGGAGGCCACCTATCAGAAGTACGATTGCACGGTGAGTTCAAATGTTATATAGGTATATATTAGAAATCATAATGGATTTATAGAAATTTGAATGCAAATTTAGAATTCAACCTGAGATGGTTGGTTCCTAAAGCAAGCTTAGGATATTGTGGTCCGATTCCAAAGATTCTCTTATATATTCTTTGAAATAAGACTAATAAAAACATTAAGAGCTTATGAGCTTATTGGAGGTTTATCTTCAAAATTATTGCTCTGCTTCCCTTAAAAAATACAAGTTTTCCAAATATATTAGAATTTCGAAGAAAAGAAAATGTAATATTTTGAAAATCCGAAACCTAATCGAGATGGTAGATCACTTTTAGGTTTAATTAATTTTCTTAAAATATAATAAAAATATAAAATAATTTGCCCATATTTACCAACTTGATTTAAAAGTATATAACATCTTCACAAAAACAATAATATTAGAAAAGAGATTTTATTAAACTCAACTGTTTATTCAGTATTACAAACTTTTTATGAAACTAAAAGCTTAAGAAATATTAAAAAAAAAAAACAATGGATAAAGTTAGATTGTATTTTGTTATATTTATAAAATTAAATATTTATAAAACTAAATATTTCCAAAAGATATTATGAAAAAGAAATTAGTAAAATCATTTGGAGTTGATATGTTGAAGATAACTATTTTTTTGAAATATGTAAAAGAGATAATTTTATATATTTTTAAAGAAAAACAGAATATTGAAGATAAAGTAAATTAGAAAGCATATTAATTTAGAAAAGAAAAAGTATACCAATTCTTAAGATGAAAAGGTAGCACATTTAAAAAGAGCATATAAAATAATACTTTATATAGCAGATAAGATAGGAACTGAATGAGTAATCTCCAGGTAAATTAGGACTGATTCCTAAATGAATAGTAAATGCTATCACTTCTTAAAACATTAAAAGAAATTAATTTCAATTATTTGGACGTGGATTTGGTTACATAATCTAGTATTAAATCTAAGGAACAGCGGTTCAACCTTTGCGATACGGTTTATACATCGTATACGGATTATAGCTATATTATATGTACAAGCTTCTTGCGGCACCTTAAATGCGAATGGGACGCATTACGGGTAGAGAATGGGGAGCCCCTGATGTGGTCGCAGGCCGCCTGGATTTGGGACAGAGATCCAGGCGAAGGCGCTTCACCTGTGGTCCCTGCGTTTGGGTCAGCTCCTCCTCCACTTCTGGCTGCGACCTGGGTCTGGGCTCCTCCCGGCGCTGTTGCTTCTGCTCTCTTAGGAAGCAGTTCTGGCGACGCACGGCAGCTGCCCCGTTGCTGGGCAACGCTCCTAGGAAACAGTTCTGACGATACACTGCCACCGGCTTGTAGTCCTGCACCGGTGCTTGCTCCTCATTTGGTTTCTCCTCCTCGATGGTCACCTTTTGGCTACCTGTTGATGACACATCTACACGCTCCACTGGACGCTTGCGCTTCTGCGGCCGTGTCTGGGTGAGACCTCTACGCAGCTGCTGCCAGTCAAGTCTCAGATGGAAGGTGATCTCTGGGGAGGGGAACAGGAGGAGGAAATATTCCAGGAGCTGGGCCTCAAACACATAACCCTGGCCGTTGCTGAGGGTCAGGGCGTCTCTGTGGTTCTTCGGAATCCCAAAATGCGACATGGCTAAAAATGAAAATATAAACAAAGTAAAATGATTGTTTTTCTGCGTGTATATTTCAATTTACATATATTTTATAATTAAATTAAAACTCGACCATAAACACAGGCAAATCTTGAAACTCATTGATGTTTTTCTATACAGTGTCACAGCCCCAAATGAATAAGCAGCATCCGTTAGCTAGCCCAATTTTTATCCACTTAGAAAACATTGAAAACAATTTATATTTAATTTTATTTCATCACCCATTAGCCATACAGAGAGAAAAAAAGATTAGACTGAGAATCTGATTACTGAAATTTCTTGAAAACAATTAAGATATTTGGGAGCCGAACTTTTTTTTACGAAACATTGTGAAATTATATTGTATTCATACATACATATATTTTTTTTAATGTGTATTAATCACTTGATATTTGATATTTCTTTAACTTTTGTATGGCTTACCTTGAGAGATGACCTCTTCGTAGGTGTGAAAAGATTCGCAAATGATGAAGCTCGTTTCTCCCTGGAAGAGGACCTTAAGACAGCTCCTTGCAGCCATGATTTGTGTCTTCGTTTTTAAGTTATTTTTCTTAAGTGTAGTCTTGATCGCGGTACCGACAATCCTGGATAGTGATTCACTTTTACTTGGCACCTCTCTGCGATGCGATCACTTGGAGTATTGCGGATGGAATGACGGCACTGCAACAGCCGGCGCTCCGTTTTATACATTTACATCTATTTTGTGCGGTGTCCCTTTTTTTTGTTGCTGTTATTTCTTCCTTTTTGCCCTTTACCTTTGGTGTCTGCCTGCAGCTGCAGTGGCTATTGTTGCTTCTAAACTAGCCTAGGTAAAAACGTCGGTCGGACGGAACGGGGGTTGTTGCTGTTTGCATGTGTGTGTGTGTGTCTGTGTGTGTTTAGCTCGTGCTCGCTTCAATGATAATGGGGACGGAGAGCAAGTGAGAGAGAGCTCTCTCCCCTTATCCATTCCATATCGCCTTTTGTCTGACTTTGTTTTTGTTGTTGGCTGGCCAAACGCGTTTCTGCATGTCGCGTGCGTGTGACGTCACGATCGCCAATTGGGGTGACACAGCCACTAGTTTAAATTTAATGGTGAAATTAGAGTGGGCCTCCCATTTGTGGTGAAATAAAAGTTACTACTAAATTAAATTTTATATCAATATTAATTTTATTTCAACAGTTTTAATAGTGACAATAAAATTAAAAAAATATGTTGAAAAATTTAGAAAACAGTTTTGTTTGGTTTTTTATTTATTATTAATTTAAGATATATACATTATTTATTTATTTTTTTTATATTAGAAGTGCCCAATATCTTGGAAATATTATATTTTAAGATTCCCTATTACTTCTACATATATCTCTAAATATTTTCATAACAAAATTAAACAAAAAATTTAATGGTTTTTAATTTATTTAGCTCACTACGATGCAAACTAAATAAAATAATAATACCCTACAAGGTATAAAAATGGATGAAAAAAACTGTTTTCGAATCAACCTTTATTTACAAGATATATTTTTTTGTGTTAATACAATTTTTCTATATCTTATGTTTTTTTTCTACATCGCAGCAGGAGGAGTACTCTGGAGCTCCAGTGCAATGCCTTATCCCCGGGACCAACCAGTGGGCTTTAATCGGGGTCTCGTCGTGGCGGATCGCCTGCGGACCGAGTGGAGTGGAGCGGCCCAGAATGTACGACAAGATCGCCTCGAACGCCGCCTGGATTCGCGAGACCATCAACGCGGTGTAATCCACAACAACTTGCATTTGTACAGAAAACGGAATCGAACCGAACTCTCGTTACGGTATTATGTGTGTAGAATGGATAGATCACATTAGCGTTACTATTTCCCGATCTAATGTTAACCGAACCCCAACCTAACCCCCTACTTAATCGTTAAGCAAGCTTTTTTTTTTGCTGGTTTTGTGTAATATTTATTAACTATGTTGTAGTTGTGTGTGTTAAGCATGTCGAAAAGGAAGCCAATTTAGTTGCTAGTATTTACGTTTAGCTGTTTTGTAGTAAGATATTGTTGAATAAAATGAAATCGCCTAAAAAGGAGCTGAGTTTCAGCTGGGGTTTAGGTGGACACATGCATGGACTCCCACTGCCCGTTGGCCTGGAGCCGATACTGCACCCTGTCGGCGATCTGGTTGATGGCCACGTTTAGGAAATCCCATCGCTGGGGCTCAAATTTGAAAGCGGTGCTGCGGGGGAAGAATATTTTAGGTATTATCTAGAGATAATTACCTTAATAAAGGGAGGTACTCACTAGCTGTCTGGCCGCGGGATGGGCTTGCCACTGGCCAGGTGCTCCTGCAGGAATTGATCGTGCTTCGTCTTGAGCTCGTCGTGGTCAATTGGCTGGCCACAGGGGCATATGTGCCCCCTTATTTTGGCCGCCAAGTCCTCTTTGGCCCACAGGGCATCCAGCTCGCTTTCTGGAAGCTGCACGGCGGTGGCCCCGATAAGTCGCACCTGCCAGGTACTCTCCTTGCCGTCAGAATCCCTGACATTTGTCCAGTAGAAGGTAATCCCGGCCTTGTTGGGATTGGCCTGAAGGTTCTTAAAATTTCGGGTATAACGATGAGTGATATAGAACACAAAGTTATCCCTGGTGAGTCCGCGATAGAGCACAGTGCGGTTGAGGACACCAAACTCCTCGTCCACAGTTGCCAGATTCATTTCCTGGATGGATCCAGCCGGTTTCCCCTTGTTGGCTGCCTGCAGGATCTGCTTGAAGAACTCCACAGGGTGGGAGGGAAAGTTCATGATTTTTGCCAATTCCGACGACATTTTTGCTGTAATATTTTTGGCTATAAAAATAATAGTATGTTTCAATAAATTTACGTCCTATTTAAAATTTTTATTAATTAAGAATCGAAAAGCCATTTTCCGTTTAAAAACTGGCGCCAATGTCTACTGTTAAGATTAACAGTAACTGTAAAGCCAGCAAAAGCGTTAGTCAACACTATCAGCTGGTCGCCTCGCCGACAAGTTTTCCAACACCATGCGAAATCTGGGCTAAGACGCGACGAGGAGAAAAAAACACACAACAGAACGCGAGAACGGGGAAAAACGCGAGCCTTGGCCGGCCGAAAGGAAAACCTCGCGGAGCAGGAGCACCATGACCTCCATACTGGACATGAAGGCCGGCCCGCCCGACTACTGGGCGGAGATAAGCAACTTTTTCCTGCCGCTGAAATACCTGATCACCAACGAGCGATTCGACGCCCTCGTCCGGGACATAGACCTGTATTACCTGATCAACGGTGTCTTCTGGATCTTCGTTGCGATGTCCTGCGGCTTCTGTGCCTTTCAGCGGCTCTTCCAGGTGAGTGCTATTTGAGTGAATCCTCCGGCTGTGGCTTGGCCGTGTGGCTAGTGCTTTTGCTTTGAGGGGTCGCTCGGCCGATTTGGCGTTTATAAATAAACAGAGCGGCCACGGGGCCGGTCCCGGGAGGTGTATGTGCTCTCCCCTCACGAATCGGGCACAAGAAAAGCGTTTGTACGGAGAATGCTATTGAAAACAAAACACGGCAAAAGCAATATGTTAGGTACCAATACATAGAATGTACTCAACGCTTAGAAGAGGTACACTAACTAAATGGGTACATTTTGGATGCCTTTGCCAAATTTGGGGGTAGTGTTTAATTTTTTAGCTCAATTAATTCCTTTCCTCAATACAAAATACTATGGAACTACAATAATAGGTTCTGGTAGTCATAGTAAACGTTACTATTTATTGAGATATATTTAAATTAAAACCAAAAATCTATTTAAAACTAATTGAAAGTGAATAATTTTGAAAACTACAACATTGTTAAACTAGAATTGATTGTTTATTTAATTAATTAAATAAGTACACAAGTTATATAAACAAGTAATTCAGGTACAAATGTCCAACTAGATGCGGATGCTCATCTCTCTTGTGGGAGTAGCACATGCGCCAAAGTTTGCACCTCTCGTCGTTGCATTTTCGGGGGGCACACTCCGCTCCTGGCAACAGCGACAACAAGCGCTAGCGATAGCGCCAGCATAAAGCTTCGACTGTCTGACCGATGGACAGACGGAATGACCATAAAACATTATCGATAGCGACTCAAGGCCACTGGCCTGCCTTTTCCTGTTGCAGTTCTTCCTCAAGTCATCGAATATGAAGTACTTTAAGCGAAAGCAGTTTGCCCGTGTCATCTGGAACATCGCCTTCTATGGAGCCAGCTGCCTGTTTCTGCACTTCTACAACGAGTTCATCCTCCTGCCGCAGCTGATGAAGAACCAAGGACGCTACTCGCTCTTCTACTCCTCGGAGAACGTCATTTTCTATCGCTCGCATCAGACGGAGAAGTTCCAGTTCTATTCCATCTTCATCATCACGTTCTACCTGCATGGGGCGATGTTGGACTTTAAGGAGGCCGATTTTCTGGAGGTGGGCTCCAAGGGGCTTTACCTGCTATCCCTGGTCGCCATTGATGTCTACAGGCAAGTTTAAACATGTTCTCTGTAAATAAAGGGGGGTTTTTGATATTTATTATTTATTTATTATATTGCAGGTATGAAAACTACTTTGTTGGCTTGAATCTGACGGTCGGCCTGTACAGCATACTCACCGAGGTGCTGGCCCTGCTGGTCCTGCCCAGCGCCTACAGCCACCGGATCGTGTATCAGGTGTTCCTGGGCCTACAGATCGCCGCCTGGGCGCATGTCTTTGTCAATCTAGTGCCGTTCAAGTACCTAATACCCACGCTGTTCGCCAAGAACTTTAAGCTGCCGCTCAATGTGGCCATTTGGTTTTGGTATGGCATCTCGATCTGGAACTCGCCGGTTTTGCAGTGTTTCTACCATCAGATATATCATACGGCGCCCTCGGATTGTTCCGGCGATGGGTCAGCGGCTAAGTACGATTTATTTGGATGCACCAAGTTGAATCTCTGATTTACCTTTCAATGTCTCTCCTGGCAGATGCATCATGGTCAAGGACTCGAGCGAGTTCCGGCACTACAAGACCCTGAAGAAGGCCTATCTGGAGGTGAAGTTGGCCCACGAGAAGATCAATGCCCAATCGCTGTCGACCCACGAAACCAGTTCGGCATCGGCCAAAACCTTTCAGGCTATTAAATGTGAGTTCATTGTTTTTGAATCTTCCTCTTCCCTTATTCGAAATTCCTTTAAAATCAATATATATGGCAGGCGTCATGATGCTAAAGCGCAAGTTAAAGCGTATTCGCGAGGGTCGCGGCCATGAGCCCGAGGATGACAACGAGGATATGACCACCACAGATGCCTAAATCGAATCGAGAAGTTACATAAACACCTAGACACACATTTCCTTAGACAAAAACAAAAAAAAGACACACAGATCCTGCTTAGGCTAAAAAATCACAAAGATGAAACTACCTCCAACCCTGGCTATAAGAGTAGTGCTTTCTCTTTCTCTGTCTCTCTTTTAATAAGCCGGTCAGAAGTTTATGCGTGCTCAAAAAAAAAAAAAAACTGCAACAAATCGGCTTTATGTACGAGTGAGGCTTATCTCGGTTAATCTCTTAGAAATATATATTTTAAATGCCATAAAAGGCTCTGTATGTATTCGTGAGAAAACGGTAGTGGGTTGTAAGCACTGAATATGTTAGAACAATTTTAGAATAATTAGGATTTTTAAGTCTTCGAAGTGCACCGTTTCCCCGTTTATTTATTTATTTATACCAATTAGCTAAATTTCTGACCTACCCTCGGCACGCATAAACCAAAGGCAGTATAAGGAATAAGATGTGTAGAAATTGCTTAGCACATGTTATTTTTTATATTGCCTCTGCATAAACTAAATCCGGCAACATACCCTTGATCCAAAGTCGGCACGCATAAACCAAAGGCAGTATAAAGAATAAGATGCGTAACGCAAGTTTAAAAACATTGCTTGGCGTTACGCATCTTATTCTCCATATTGTCTTTGCATAAACCCAATCCGGCGACAAAGCTAGCAAAATATATATATATAAAGAATCTGATTTTTCGGCGCCACATGTGCTTATCGCCAACGGAGATTGCCTTGGCTCGTATATATAATATATATAGTTACTATATCTCTTTTCTCTCTCTCCCTCGCGCACACACGTATACAGTTTGTCTCTCCTTTTTTTAGATTTTTAAGTCGCCTTCAACTTATTGTTGTTGTTTATTCGCTGTGACTTGATGACATATTGAAATATTGTAATGTGGTTTATTTTTTTCGTTCTTTTTAATTGAAATATACTATATATGGGCTAAACGAGCGCAATTGAAATGTGTGTGTTGTTGTTACTGGTTGGTTGGTTTTTACTCGTCTTAAATTTAGTTCATCGTCTTCTCCTCTTGTTGTTTGTTTTTTTAGAAACATCATTTTATTTATTTCCTTGCTTTATTGATATTTGAAAAGAATTTTCTATTTGAATTTCCGTTTTTTGTCAATTTTACTATCTGCTGTTCATCCAATCATCCACCTTTGATATCCTTGCAATCGTATTTTTTAATATTCTAAATTTAAAATTTTGTTGTAATATAATGAAAAATATCAACGGTTGGAATTGGGGAATGGAAAAATGCGATATGATATTTTGACAAACAAATAGCGGTCAATATCTTATCGAAAATATACTAAAGTTTGATACATCATACATACATATATCGGAATTTTAAAATACAATATTTTACCGACATATTGATCTCCCTTGCATTCCCCAGTAGGAATCATGATGACATACTTATAAATTGAAATATAAAAAAACTATTAAAAACTTAATAAACTATGAAATAAGCTATCGCACATGTATCGGAACGTTATAATATCGATTTATATATCAATTTAGTATCGGTGTTTCGATATTATCTGCACAGTACAGTTTTGGAAATAATTGTTGAATTATTGTAAAAAGTTTTCTTGGTTTTAGCTGCAAAACTTGGGCCAAATTTGATTAAAATCAATTGCAAGGGTATTCGAGTTTCGGCCTGCCGATCTTATTTTTCCATTTTTGTATGCTTTCCTCGCTTTGTTAACATAGTTTCGCGGTTTGGTATTGGTGTTTTTGGTTGCATTTCCTCCACCGTTTCGTTTGCTTTGTGGTTTTAAAAATTCCTTTCACTAGAAGCTAAATTTATGTTTTATTTATAATTACTTTTCTCTTATCTGCTTGCGGTTCTTTACTTGAGTTTAGTTTAATTTTAAACATTGTTTGGTTTTGGGTTTGCCAATTCTTGTTATTTTTTTCTTTCTTTTTTTTTTTTTGTTTTCGTTCTAGAAAATCTTGTGTTGCATTTTTGTTTGTGGTTTACGTTGTTTCGTGACGAACAAATTTTTACGTGCCGCGAAATATATTTTATTTGATTTTTGTGTTTTTATCATTTTTGGGAAGTGAATGAGAGGGGGTGAGAGGAGGAGGGATTGCCCTTAGGGCTTTGAGCAAAAAAAATGTCTCTATGTTTTTTTTTACAATTACTTTTGTTGCCATTTGGTTTAGTTTTGCTTTACTTATTCATTTAAATCGTATAATTTTATATGTTTTTTTGTTCTTTTTTAATATTTCCTTCTTTTTTATATTTGTGTTATGTTCTTAAAAGTTAATTCAATTCGTTTTTGTTTCGGTTTCTTCGTTTTCTCGCCGCCCCTCAAATAATTTCTCCCATCCAACATTTTGGTTCGCTTATCAACGTTGTTGTGGTTCGTTCTGCCTCGGATTTTTGTTAATTTTAATTTAATATTAGTGTTAATTTAATATTTATGTTACTGTTAATGTTACCATTAAATGTATGCTTTAAAATTAGTGTTAGTTGTTCTTCCCTTGAACGCTTCCCAAACGTTCTGTTAAAGGTACGTTCTAAAAAAAAATGACTCCTCCATGCAGCTTTCTTCTCGTTTATTATTTAAGTTTTCAGTTTTCTCTGCCCCGACCCAAATATCTGTATATATATATTTATATTTTTATGTAGAAACTGTTGGGAGCAACACACAACTGACGATGGCAAACTGCATCGACCCCGACGGGGTCGCCCGTTCCGTGGTTCGAGTTCAATTAAGGTGCGAGTGTCGTCGTGACCCTTTTGCATACATATATTGTTAACATACATAGTTCCTTTGCCCGCTTGGCATTTTTCTGCTTAGTTTTTTGTATAAAATATTTCAACATTTTTACACCTATGGCTCATGGGCCTGTCCCTTAAGATTTTCTTGTTCTTGTTCCAATTTTCATTTATAAATATGACTTTAAATCATTTGTTCATAACGCCTGTTTTGGTTTTCCTAATTTGTTTAATGACTAGTGATATATGTATATGTTGTGTTATGACACTCACGCGCACACTCACGCACGCACACACGCACTCTGAAAAGTCCTTTGACGAGAGAAGAGCCTTGGTACATGTGGAACATCTTCTATTCGTCCAGTCCGGTGAAACCTTAGAGGTTCAATTTCTAATGCAAGGGTATCATTTAGCTCGCTAAATTCTCAGGGAGATGCAAAAACAAATTTGATGACACAGTAGCAAGTAGAAAAGATAGTAAAATGTAACTCATAAACCATAAAAATGCTCGAATGTGAACTAAAGTCTCGCTAAATGATCGCAAAAGGACATGGAAAAGAGAGTTTCGTAAACTAAATTCGACATATATTTCATGTTTTCCCCACTTTCAAAGCCCCTTTACGATATTTTAGCCATAATTTATATCAAAATTGCCCCTCGAACGATATTAAAGGCTCGCAAACGATCCGTTTTCGAGCTATCGGAACTGAAACTTTCTCTGCAACAAACTGAGCCCTCGTATATTCGGGTTTTTATAGTTTTTTAATCTCAAACAAAGGTGCTTCCATGTGTTAGTTTCACTACTGGGAGGACATGGAAAATCTGCCAAGAGTATAGATGTACATAGGTGTCCTGGAACAACATCCCAGCCAGCCTCGCATTCATTTCCAATTAATCAACTCACAAAATACAATCATTTGCACTTGTCGCGCGAATTAAAACAGAGCCATGGACACAAATGCCAAAAGCGGCCAACTTTCCGAATGAAATCAAATTCAAATTAGCCAAAATGCCCCGCCCGAAGGTGTGGGTGCCTAGTCCTTGGGTGTTTGGTGTGTGTGTTTTTTCCAGGGGGGGCGAGTGGCGAGGGGCGTGGCCCGATAATGAGCCTGGTGAAAATGAGCAGCAGCATCGGCTGGAGCTACAACGGCAGCAACAACAATTCAAATATAATGAATGAAATTATGTTGAAAACATATTTTTCCACCAAACAAAAAGACGGCCAACAAAAACAAGTCTACAAACTTTGTCTTCTTGACCAGCGCGACGGTGCTGGATGGGCGGAAAATGGGGGGGGAGTGTATTTTCCTATTAGCAAGCAATAAATTCGTCGCTCTTATTGAGCCAAAAGTTGGGCGAAAACAGGAGCAGAAACATAGATAGGACATTAAACGATGTCGGGGTGGGGGTTGGTGGACTGCAAAAAAAAAAAAAAAAAAACGCAGGGAAAAGCGGGAAAGAGTGGCCTAGGGAACCCACGGTGAGTGGAGGGGGCGGGCAGAGAACCTGCTGGAAAATGTCGCCCGAGGGTGTAAAGTTGGTTTTTGCTGCCAGCTTTTGACTCAAACCCGAACGTGGGAATTATTGTGAAAATGGGAATTAGTGTTGCCAGCAAAAGGAACCTTTTTCAAAAGAAAACTAGTACAATGGATATATATTATTAATCGAAAAGGATCCCTGCTTGGACAGTAGCATACTTCGAGAATATAATTGAAATTGATTTGAAATCCTCATTATGTGATGTTTAGCGAGAGGAAAATTCTAATCTAGTATTCCGAAAGAAAATATAGCTCTACATATCATATCGGAAATATCGAAAATTCCGATATATGTATAGAAATTTTAAAAATATCGGGCTTATCATTTAAATAAAGATATTATTATGATTGTTGGAAACCAAACAAACAGAACTTTTTCGATACATAATATAGAGTTTATATATTTTCTTTCATATGTATATCACAATGTTAAAAAATCGATTTCTTAATATTGTTTTTTAAATCCTAAACGTAACCACTTTTATTTAATGATAAATGAAATGGAGTGAATGTTCAAAATGGAAAAACGACAGCACTGTTGCGAATGGCAGGAAGCAGAGACAGAGAGAAGGAAAGAAAGAGATAGAAAAGGGAAAGCAGGGGGAAGTACCCCGAAGAAGCGACTGTTTCGACCGGGCCATAGCTTTATGATTGCTTTTGTATTGCCCGTTGCGTTGTTTGGGGGCCGAGCACGTGACACAACGGGACCATAGATAAAATGCCGATACGGTGGGAAATGGCCAATGACGGACATTTCCGGCTGAATCCATTGGATTCTGTTGGTTTGCTGGAATCGGGGAAAATGGCAAGCACTGGCTTTTTTTAAGCCTCAGAGCTGCGCAATTAATGTAGCGCTTGTTATGGATGACAATCGATAGTATACGGTATAGATTGCTTTATCGTAAATATGTATTTGTAATAAGAATACATTTATATAATGGTAATAAATGTTGAAACATTTTGGTTTATTTTTAAAATACGCCAGAAGGCTTTCAAAATAAATCAGCAACCAGACCAGAGTCGATTTAGCCAGAACCGATTATCCGTAACAGAACTTAGAAGCTACAAACGCTGATGTAAGTATTTATATCAAAAGGAAAAGCTGAATACGATATATGGACTAAAACATCTTAATTATCGAAAATATCATAAACTATGAAATATAAAATTTTTAAATAATCTTAAATATAGCATTTAACGTTAAGATTTCGAAATTATTCTGAATATTTTCGAAAAGGTATTTATTTTGTTTCTATCTATTGTTTCTATTAGTTATTTCTTTCGCACAATTGGGACATTCCACTGTAAAAACACACTCACTTTTAGACCGCGCTAAAAGACCAACAAGTATCGAGGGAAAGGCCTTAAAAATATGTCTAAAACAACAGCAACCGAATGCTAAATGAATGAGGCTAATGCAATTACAAGAACAACAACAGCCATGAAGAGGGCCCAGTCTAGTGTCCTCTCTGCGAGTGGCCACACAGTTTGAGTTAGCCTTGTTAAAACTCCTTGGAATGCAGTAGGGGCCAACGCCATCAACCCACTGAGCTCAGACCAAATTCCCCTATTTGTTTTTGTTGCCCGCAACAATTATGATTTGCGGTCTCCAGCTTCCTTTTTCCACTTTGTCCTCTTTTCTACTTCAGCTCCTTATGGCGGATGGTGCAGGGGCTGTTTTTTGGGGGGGTCT